CAAACCGCTTTGTAAAGACCTCAATGCACGTGGCTGGGCGGCAGGCAGCCTCCCTGGCTCCGCGTCCCCCTCGGACTCGTCCCTATCGCAAGCAGACGCTGTCCTGCTCCTCTGTAGTCAGCAGCAGAGCGCTTTGTCAATTAAATAAACTCGATCTCAGCTTGCGGACGGTCGCTGCTCAGCAACACGAGCGGCCGAGGGGAGAGGGCTGGGGGCAGGCGTTGCTCACCCCGGTACCGGTGCCTCCACCTCCCAGCACAAGCGTCCCTGCAGCCCGCGGGGAGCGGCTGGCAAGGCACGGGGCCCGCGGAGCGAGCTCTCCATCGCAGCCGCCCCTGGGCTCTTCTGGGAGCGGGAGCACTGGCAGCGGCGTGCATCCCATCTCTGCGCCGGGGGACATCCTCAGCCCCAACCGGCGGCTCCAAGGCTCCCGCGCCGCCCAGGTGAGCGTGAACGCTCGCCCACCTCCACTGAAGCGCGCACCCCAGGGACGCGTGATCTGTCCCCATCGATAGCGCGCGGGCGCCCAGACCTCGCCTTCCCCCACGCCACGATGGAGGCCACCCTACCCGACCCCGCACGCCAACTCGTGCCTGTTCCCCTGCCTAAAGGGGGAATTAGGCTGTGTGGGTATTCCCACCTCTTGGGAAGAACAAACACGGAGAAAAGTGGGAGAGTTGGTGGCCGCTGCTGCTGTTGAGCACTGGGCACCGTTCCTGGTGAGGGTGCCAGGATGGCAGCACGGCATGGCCAAGAGGCACCGGGTGAGATGGGGACAGTGATGAGCCTGGGTCAGACGGGAAGGTCCAGGAAAGCTTGCAGGCTTAGCCTGGGCCCTTATCCTGGTGCAAATATCCCAGCACTGATTTTCTGGAACCCCATCAATAGCTGAGCAGGCAGCTCTGACATAAACCCGCCCCAGCTTGCGGTAATGCTGCAGCTGGGCTGTATTACTTCTTCACTTAGAAAATGTTTCCCTTTCTCATTAAAACCAGAACATAGACCAGTCCTTTCCAAAAGTAAAGGCACCAATACTCTGCTGGGAAGGCGGTGGCAAACCTCCGCAAAGGCAGCGGTGGTTTCAGGCCAACCCAAGTGCTGGTTACCCTTCCAGGGCAGCGGCTGCGCCCCGCGAGCGGCAGCTCCGGCAAAGCCTGTTGGGGCACCAAGGGGCTGCTCCCGGCAGCCCCCAGCAGCAGCTC